TCAGTGGACACGCGTGCATCTGTGTCCTCTCCAGAGGCTAAGGTCATCGCGCGTGGACAGTCATCGCGTGTAAGCGGTCAGAGCGAACAAGCAAAGACATTTGGCTAGGCTCGACGCCTCAGGAAAGCCTCCAAATGATGCTAGCATTTGGTCAGGCTAAACTACTAACGTTAACCAACGAGTATCAATATGTTCCGATGTAAACCGGCAAGACCACGAGCCAGTGGCTCAAGGCTTAGAGCGTTAGACTTCTGATTAAAAGGTTGTTGATTCGAGCCCCAGGTGGGGCACTACTTGGGATTGGCTATGACGGGCTTGTGGGATACGAGGTAGACCGACCAGATAAGGGACGATAGAACGTATCCCGCTAGTTATAAACTAGTAGATATGATGAGGCGTGGAAGACTAGAGTGTCAGGGATAATTTAATTAGGTGTAGAAGGAGTTGAACATGAGTTATGGATGAGCGACTCCCAGACAAGTGCAGTCCAGCCATGAACGGACTGCTCCGGGAGCGTATGATTGTAAACAATTGAAAAGAAGAAGACTCGATCGCTGGGACAATACGTTCATTCGCCTGACGTTTCGACGTCCGTCGCGGATTCATTCTCAGAGACATGAGTAGGACCCGTTTCTGCTATTGTAAACAATTCCCGCACTAAGGTCCTCTGTGGACTGGCCTTAAGAAGTGGTTGGCCGGTAAGGCCAGGCAGAGGGTGACCTTGAACGGAGGTTTTGACAACCTATGGCGCGCACGGGCTGGTGGACACGAGAGCTAGACAAGCGGGACATGTGAGCAAAGCACGGATTAGAAATGCAAGGTCCCTACAATACTCCCTCTCCCAGGAGAACGGAGTTCAAAAATTTTAATGGAAGGGAGATATACGAATGTTAAGAATAGAGTACAAATTGATAACGGGCAGAAAAATTCGTAGTGTAGAAAATGGTGTATAAATAGTAATATAGCAAAGTTGTGGATAAATAAATGTATGACAAAAGGGCTACTACATTAACTGAAGGTATGACGAAAATTTTTTTATCGGTCGTGCAATGTTGAGAAAATATGCCAGTAAGTCGGCAGGTTGGAAAGAGGAAAGGGCATCTCGAAAACCTGTGCCAGTAAGTCGGCAGGTCAGAGGGAGAAAAAGATGTGCTGGAGTGATCCCGTCAACGTGTATCAGTATGTCGGCACGTTGTTAGGAGAAAGGGATATTTCAAACACAAGGCATCCCAGTGAGAACTGAGTCGGACGAATTTGTAAATGAAGCAGACGCACTGTCGTCCAGACACAGAATTGAGTAAGAGCTAAATGTCGAAACTTTGTAAATGCAGTGATGGGTAAGCGACTCCCAGACAAGTGCAGTCCAGCCATGAACGGGCCGCCCCGGGAGTGTATGATCTTACACAATCCCCGCACTAAGGTCCTCTATGGACTGGCCTTGAGAAGTGGTTGGCCGGTAAGGCCAGACAGAGGGTGATCCTGAACGGAGGTTTTGACAACCTGGGGCGCGCACGGGCTGGTTGAAACGAGAGTCAGACACACGGGGCATGTTAGCAAAGCATGGCTTAGAAATACAAGGTCGCTACAGGCTGATGACGGTTAATGAGCCAGAAATGGCCATTTCAGTCTCCCTTGTTTTTTTGCCGGCAATGCTCTCTGCCTAGACGACTAGCCACTGTGCGGCTGCTGGCGGGGCTGGAGAACAAGCCTCAAGCCAGAGCGAGACGAATGAGTTCCGTTAGCGAGCGATGAATGTTAACCAACGAATTCGAAGCTTTTATTCGACAACGGTTTGAGAGTCGCCGCCTCCACTGATTAGTGCTCGGCCGCGTAAGTCGCATAAACTACCTGAAGTACAGTCAGGTGTTGGGTGTAATTCTCAATCAATACTACTCATTCCCGGCCATTGGAGGGGGGGGGAGTCGAAAGTGGAGGAAGAATAGGGTGCAGTAGAGTTGAAGGATACCGAGCTGACTTTCACTGTTATAGCCCAGTTAGTTCGACGTCGCCAGTTGTTATAGCCCAGTATTTCGAACCCGACTAATAGAGAGAAGAAGGCAAGAGAGCGGTCCTGATAGGCAATGGCTTTATTTAACCGTACACAAAGACTTGGGGCTTGCGGGACTGTCCGGTTCTGTGTGTTCTGCCGGTCCGTCGGAGTC